CCCAATAACATGTAACAGATACTGATGCATGTCACTGTTGAAACATGTCGGCATCTGCTACATGCTATTGGGTGTCATCCATGCCCGTCCAGGGCCACCGGCTGACGTTATCTTTGGACTTATCAGCCTAATACACAACTGTGTTTGTAAGTATAATGCTTTGCTACTTTTATTCTAATAAATGGTGTCACTGGTGATGCTCTGGGCTGGTGCTCCCTTTTTGCTTTTAGTCGTTTAGTGTCTTGGCTTCCCCTGCCTGATAAGGGCTGTAGGGCCTGGAGATCTCCAGGGGGCCTGTTACAATCCAAGCTCGTTGGAGAACCATCTGTGAAGACAAGAATATTTGTCACATCCATTTTATCTACCACATTTTTAGTGCAGAAGAGATCTTAGCTTTATATTGTTTATTATTTTTATGTTTATTTTGTATTATTGTCATCACCCAATAGTATGACGGTGAAGCTGGCAGCTTCTACACACCAAAGAGCTTCCATGGTCACCTTGGCTTTCAGTAGGGAGTGAACCTGGAATGAAGCCACACACCATAATATTCAAGTACAAATACATGTTTATTCTAATGATCTTCATTATACAGCCAACACGTTTCAGGGTCTTTAACTCCCTTCATCGGGTTTGGGGGAAATGAAACAACAGGGCAGGGTTGTTCAACACATCATTGACCTAATATGTCCGCATTGCCAGATTTTGTAAATATCATTGACCTGCAACAAAGGCCAAAGGTAATGCCCCAGTGATCTACTGAGATCTGGGTGATGGCACCTATAGAACCCATCCCAGAAGTCCAATATGTAATGCAGTGGCGTCTTTCCATCTCGACAGTGTCAATGACCTGTTATGGCCATGTGGCCATATTAGGCCAATGGGTCGACAAAGCCCAGTCTTATTGATGTACTCCAAATGCCAATGGTAATGCTACAGTGATCTACTGAGATCTGGGTGATGGCATTTATAGAACCCATCCAAGCCCAATATGTAATGCCGTGGTGTCTTCCCATCTCAACAATGTCATTGACCTGTTATGGCCATGTGGCTTATTAGGCCAATGGGCCGACAAAGACCAGTGGTAATGCTCCAGTGATCTACTGAGATCTGGGTGATGGCATTTATAGAACCCATCCAAGCCCAATATGTAATGCCGTGGTGTCTTCCCATCTCAACAATGTCATTGACCTGTTATGGCCATGTGGCTTATTAGGCCAATGGGCCGACAAAGACCAGTGGTAATGCTCCAGTGATCTACTGAGATCTGGGTGATGGCATCTATAGAACTCATCCAAGCCCAATATCTAATGCCATGGTGTCTTCCCATGTCAACAATGTCATTGACCTGTTATGGCCATGTGGTTTATTAGGCCAATGGGCTGACAAAGACCAGTGGTAAATCTCCAGTGATCTACTGAGATCTGGGTGACGGCATCTATAGAACTCATCCAAGCCCAATCTGTAATGCCATGGTGTCTTCCCATCTCAACAATGTCATTGACCTGTTATGGCCATGTGGTTTATTAGGCCAATGGGCTGACAAAGACCAGTGGTAAATCTCCAGTGATCTACTGAGATCTCGGTGCCGGCATCTATAGAACTCATCCAAGCCCAATACATAATGCCATGGTGTTTTCCATCTCAACAATGTCATTGACCTGTTATGGCCATGTGGCCATATTAAGCCAATGAGCCGACAAAGGCCAGCGTCATTGACCTGCTCCAAGCGCCAATGGTAATGCTTCTGTAATCTACTGAGATCTGGGTGCCGGCATCTATAGAACTCATCCAATGCCTTGGTGTCTTCCCATCTCAACTGTGTCATTGACCTGTTATGGCGATGTGGCCATATTAGGTCAATGATATCACAAGCATCCTCGCCACTTTTCTTTACATACGTTTGCAGGGGAACGCCCTGGTTGCAGCTGATTGGTCAGGTGGAGATGTGATCATGTGACATCTTCCCACAAAATCTGCCAAGCTGGGTTCGGTCATCCCTGGTCAGTGTCTGATTCAGGTATCCTTGAATGGTTCATTGTGATGCACCTTTTCACATCTTCCGGATCAGCTTCTTTTGCAGCTCCTGACATTGGGTCACATAGCATCTCATTGCAACAAAGGAAATTGGTGCTGGAAGACTTCCCTCTGCCAGGTGCAGGGATCTGAATGGGGAGTTTGTAGATATATAATGCCTACTGTGTGTCACTGACTCCGGGACTGAATGGTGCCACCGGACCAACATATCCAATTAGTACTGGCCCAGGGGACAAAGCTCCCAGCCCAACCTGATGAATATGACCAACCAGTATCTAAACAGGGACATGTATGGAGTGATAGGCATTGTATGATGGAGCGGCTGACACACAACCAAAGAGCTCATGGTGGGACACATGTCTTATGGGTGACATTGACTGTGGGTCTGATCAATGACTGAATGTGGCCACCAGACCAACATATTCAATATTAGTACTGGCCCAGGGAGACAATGCCCCCAGTCCAACATCTATAGAGTGATAGGAGTTGTATGATGGAGCATCTGACACACAACCAGAGAGCTCATGGTGGGACACATGTCTTACGTGTGTCACTGACTGTGGGTCTGATCAATGACTGAATGTGGCCACCAGACCAACATATTCAATATTAGTACTGGCTCAGGTTGACAATGCCCCCAGCCCAACCTGATGAATATGGCCAACCAGTATATGAACAGGGTCATGGACTGAGTGATAGGCATTGTATGACGGAGCCGCTGACACACAACCAGAGGGGTCATGGTGGGACACATGTCCTCATGTGCGATACTGTCTGTGGGTCTGATCAATGACCGAATGGTGCCACCAGACCGACATATCCAATTAGTAGTAGTCCATGGGGACAATGCCCTCAGCCCAACCTGACAAATATGACCAGCCTGTACTTGAACAGGGTCATGTATGGGAGTAATAGGCATTGTATGACGGAGCCGCTGACACACAACCAGAGGGGTCATGGTGGGACACATGTCCTCATGTGCGATACCGACTGTGGGTCTGATCAATGACTGAATGTGGCCACCAGACCAACATAATCAATATTAGTACTAGTCCAGGGTGACAATGCCCCCAGCCCAACCCGATGAATATGGCCAACCAGTATATGAACAGGGTCATGGACTGAGTGAAAGGCATTGTATAACGGAGCTGCTGACACACAACCAGAGGGGTCATGGTGGGACACATGTCCTCATGTGCGATACCGACTTTGGGTCTGATCAATGACCGAATGGTGCCACCAGACTGACATATCCAATTAGTAGTAGTCCATGGGGACATTGCCCTCAGCCCAACCTGACGAATATGACCAACCAGTATATGAACAGGGTCATGGACTGAGTGATAGGCATTGTATGACGGAGCCGCTGACACACAACCAGAAAGGTCATGGTGGGACACACGTCCTCATCAAGTTGTCATTTCCTTCCAGATCTTCTCCTCAGGGACTTCCAACATGAAAGGACTTCAGTGACTTCTGTACATTGTAATCCAGACACCCACATGTAAACCAATTATCCCCAGACTGGAGGCGGACAGACCCCCTGGGACCAAAGGAATCCTTTGTCTCTTTTTTTTTTTTTTAAATACTTGTTTTAGATTTTTATAAATTGGAAATAAATAGGAAATAATAATAATAGGAAATACATAAATAGGAAATGGAAGGAGAGTAGGATGTCTCTCTGCTATGCTTTCCAAGAACTGGTGATCCTCAACCCCCCTATTGCTGCCTTTGGCCTGGATTGTGGTGGGGACATCTTCTCCTTATAAAATGTACTGCTTTGGTTTATTAACAATTGTGACAGATCTACATCCTCCATAGAGAAGGGACCCCCCCGGGTGCAAGACTCCTGACAGTAGTGGGGTACTCGTAGTCTACCCAGCTGAAACCAGGTGGACCCCTTTGTTCGGGAGGCCTGATGAAGCAAGGTCTACCCAAGTACTCGCTGGGTTCTGCCGAAGAAAGACCATATGGGAGGGGGGAAAAACCTGATCAAAAGGCCACATGCTCTCCCCCCCCCCCCCCCCCCCCCCCCCAAGATTTTCAGAGCAAATCTGAGGATCTACACCCTACTTGTCGAGGTGAATAAACTGGACTCAGACTCATGAACTGGCACAGAGGCGTAACTAGAACCTTCAGGGCCCTGTTGCAAGAGAGCATGAAGGGCCCTCCTTTTCTTCTGGTCCTGGGGCCCTTCCCACTGGTCCCGTGGGCCCTTCCCACAACTCCCATCATGGGGCCCTTTATTACGGTCCCACAGAAGGCCTCATTCCTGCCGTCTTGAGGCCCCCCCCCCCACAGTGGCAGAACGCCAGGGCTCGGTTGCAAGTGTGACCTTTGCGACCCTAGAAGTTCTGCCAATGACCTGGCATTGGATGTCAGTGAACTCCTTGCACCACAGAGGGATCTGGCTCTTCTCAACATGCTTATGACATTTTCATTTTGTTATTACATACCTGATTTTACATGCAGTGATGTCATCACTGGGACTCTGTGCGCCTCTATGCAATACAGGCTGGTGTGAGAGACTGGCAGGGTGCTGTGAGGCTTTCAGGAAGCCATGTACAACAGCCTGCCATCTCCTCCCACCAGCCATGAGTGGCCTGTATTGCATAGAGAAGTGCCTTAGTACTCCTCTCAAGACCCTCAGCCCTGATGCAAGCAGTGGGAGGAGCTATGCAAATATCAAAATGCATTGATGGGTGGATGTCAGTCTGGAGGAGTGATCATTCCTGGGCTGCATTTGCATGTTAATGCCCATAGGTGACGCTGAGCCACCACGATTGAAAGAATCCAAAGGGGTGGGGCCAGGGACAGTCAGGCTGGGGAGGAAAGAGCTCAGTGATGCTGGACGTCCTCCAGCCAGGCTGCAGCTTCTAATGCACATTGTGAGAAGCTCCCAGTGTGCGGTGAAATCAGAAGAAGCCATTTCAGTCCAGGAGAGGAGCCGGTACACCTGTGCAAGACTGAATGGGAGGAGCCGATATACCTGTGCAAGACTGAAGGGGAGGAGCCGATATACCTGTGCAAGACTGAAGGGGAGGAGCCGATATACCTGTGCAAGACTGAATGGGAGGAGCCGATACACCTGTGCAAGACTGAAGGGGAGGAGCCGATATACCTGCGCAAGACTGAAGGGGAGGAGCCAGTACACCTGTGCAAGACTGAAGGGGAGGAGCTGGTACACCTGTGCAAGACTGAAGGGGAGGAGCCGGTACACCTGTGCAAGACTGAAGGGGAGGAGCCGGTACACCTGTGCAAGACTGGAGGGGAGGAGCCGGTACAACCTGCGCTAGACTGAAGGAGAGGAGCCGATATACCTGCGCAAGACTGAAGGGGAGGACCCGGTACAAACCTGTGCAAGACTGAAGGGGAGGAGCCGGTAAACCTGTGCAAGAAAGAAGGGGAGGAGCTGGTACACCTGTGCAAGACTGAAGGGGAGGAGCCAGTACACCTGTGCAAGACTAAAGGGGAGGAGCTGGTACACCTGTGCAAGACTGAAGGGGAGGAGCCGGTACACCTGTGCAAGACTGAAGGGGAGGCCAGAGGTCAGAATTATGGGTGGATCCATGGACAGGAATGATCCATATCATGCATTTTGGGGGAAAACTGGTCACTTTAAGATCACTGTTTTGAGAGCGATTCTTGCAACTGGAGAAAAGGAGGTTGATCCTCAAAAGGCTTCTTTGCTCTAATGCTGGTCATACACATGGAGATTTCCCATCAATCAGATTGCGATGATCGGCTGGTACAATGACAAGTGATTTAAAAAGCAAAGCCTCCCTATTAAGGCACAGGCCTTCCATTAATAAAGGATATCGGCCGGAAAACTTTAATCGATTTCTTTAGATTGAAATAAATTGAAAGCATTGAAAAGAATGAGAACGATCAAAGAGCAATTAATCAATAACAAGGTCCCCATCAGGCAATCTGATTGATTGGACATTGGATGTTCCACTTTGTTCGATCGGAATTTCCTCTGCGGTATTGTCCAGTGCTGAATCGAATATAACGGATTATATATTCGATCCTTTCCCGAAGACAGAACCGAAACACGGGGATTTCCATGTGTATGGGTAGTCTTCCACTGGGTCCACTCTTGAGAAGATTTCTTTAATAAACGACTGAATGGGATGCTGAATAAAATATAAACAGCGAGTGATACTAATAGAATGGAGCGCTGCACAGTATTGATCCCGGGAGTATCCTGTTCCTTTTAAAGAGGCCCTGTCATCAGAACGTTCGATTCACCAACAATCGTTCCATAAGAAGCTCCGCGTGCTTAATGGATTTTATTCATCTGATGGAACTATAAAATCTAAAAACCCCGGGAGCCTCCCTCCTGGATGTGATGTCAGCAGACTCAGTGATGTCACTCTATAGTACCCCCCCTTCAGTGGCAGCTACATAAATAGTTGTAAAGGGATAAAAAAAAAAAAACTTTCGATCCCCACTGTATATATATAATATATATATATATACATATACATATATATAAATTTATATAAATTTATTTTTTTTTTATATATATATATATATATATATATATAAAAAAAAAAAAATATATATATATAAATATATATAAAACAAAATATATTTATATATAAAATGTACGACAATTATAAAAAAAAATACAATAAAAAAATAAAAAAAACAATATAATAATTAAATCATATAAATAATGCAATAATCTCAGAAATAATACAGTAATTTTACAACATAAACAGTACAATGAGTATAAAAAAAAATAGTACAATAATTATGAGGTGATAATTATAAAAAAAAATACAATAATTATACAATATAAAAAAAACGTCAATCAAAATACTATAGATATTAAAATAATTAAAAAAAAAAAAAAAAAAAAAAAATATATATATATAAATAAAATATATATAAAAAAAAATATTTAAAAAAAAAAAAATAAAAACAATGAAATATTATAGATAACACAATAATCTTATATCTATAATAAGATAATAAATACAATAAATATTAAAAAATCTAAATAAAATATGAAATGCAAAATAAAAAAAAAAATAAAAAATAAAAAAAAAAAAAAAAAATAAAAATTAAATCATATAAATAATGCAATAATCTCAGAAATAATAAGTAATTTTACAACAAAACAATACAATGAGTATAATAATAAATAATAAAAAAATTCTGATGTGATAATTAAAAAAAGAAATAAAAAAAATAATTATACAATATAAAAAAAACGTCAATTATATAAAATAGATATTAAAATAATTTAAAAAAAAAAAAAAAAATATATATATATATATATATATATATATATAATATAAGAAATATTTATGGAAAAAAAATAATAAAACAATGAAATATTATAGATAACACAATAATCTTATATCTATAATAAGATAAAAAATACAATAAATATTTTATATATCTATATATATATAAATGATATGCACAATAATTATAAAAGATACAGAATAAAAAAAAAAAAAAATATAATAATTAAATCATATAAATAATGCAATAATCTCAGAAATAATACAGTAATTTTACAACATAAACAATACAATGAGTATAATAATAAATAATACAATAATTCTGATGTGATAATTATAAAAAGCAATACAATAATTATACAATATAAAAAATACGTCAGTCATATAATATAGATATTACAATAATTTAAAAAAATATATATATATATGATACGCACAATAATTATAAAAGATACAGAATAAAATAATAACAGAGATAATAAAATATAAGTAAATAATATAAATAATACAATAATCTCATAAACAATACACTAAATACACAGAGTATAACAGTTATAAATAAATCATACAAGGATGTTATAATATATAATTTCGGACAGACATATGAGAAGTAATATTTTGTAGAAGGTCCTTTGCACTCTAGTATGATTCCTCCAGCCTCTCCATCTTGTCCTTGAATCTCACATTCACATTCCGCCATCTAACGTGTATGAGGAGCGGTGACTCCCACGTTCCGTTGCGCGCTCCGGATATCGATCGTTGCCTTGTTAATGCCGCCACCATTAAGCTGTACTCTTAAATACTAATCTCCTCTTCCTCGCTGTTTTCTGCCACGTCGCCCCCTTTTTCCTTCTCCTCTGAATTATTCATGGCGCGGCTATTAAAATATTTAGCCATAACCTGGGCCTGGCTTTAGGTATTAGCGGGGCGGCTGTACAAAGGAGGTTTTGTTTGCTCCACATAACATCTTCTCCTGAATATTTGATGAGAATATTGTAGAATTAGCATTTCCTGTGTAACGTGTGATGTTGTAAAATGACGTCTGCCGTGTGTGTCGCTCTGCGTGTATTGGGGGGGAAATACTGGGCAGTGAGATGTCAGAGAAATGGTGTTTGGGGCGCACTTTATGGGCTGCGGCAAATGCGGCAAATGTTGTGTGCTTCAGGATGGATTATCTGCACAGAGAAGCATGCAATATTTTCACCTGGACCTCAACCAAAATAAAAATCCTAACCCTAGCCTCAGTATAGGGTCTGTACCCCCACTGTGCCCATTAAGAGGGGTTCCCACCATCCCTGTGCTGAGTTCCTGGGTCTGTACCCCCACTGTGCCCATTATAAGGGGTTCCCACCGTCCCTGTGCTGAGTTCCCGAGTCTGTACACCCGCTGTGCCCATTATGAGGGGTTCCCACCATCCCTGTGCTGAGTTCCTGGGTCTGTACCCCCACTGTGCCCATTATAAGGGGTTCCCACCGTCCCTGTGCTGAGTTCCTGGGTCTGTACGCCCACTGTGCCCATTATGAGGGGTTCCCACCATCCCTGTGCTGTGCTGAGTTCCCGGGTCTGTACACCCGCTGTGCCCATTATAAGGGGTTCCCACCGTCCCTGTGCTGAGTTCCCGGGTCTGTACGCCCGCTGTGCCCATTATGAGGGGTTCCCACCATCCCTGTGCTGAGTTCCCGGGTCTGTACACCCGCTGTGCCCATTATGAGGGGTTCACACCATCCCTGTGCTGAGTTCCTGGGTCTGTACACCCACTGTGCCCATTATGAGGGGTTCCCACCTTCCCTGTGCTGAGTTCCCAGGTCTGTACACCCGCTGTGCCCATTATGAGGGGTTCACACCATCCCTGTGCTGAGTTCCTGGGTCTGTACACCCACTGTGCCCATTATGAGGGGTTCCCACCTTCACTGTGCTGAGTTCCTGGGTCTGTACACCCGCTGTGCCCATTATGAGGGGTTCCCACCATCCCTGTACTGAGTTCCCAGGTCTGTACACCCGCTGTGCCCATTATGAGGGGCTCCCACCATCCCTGTACTGAGTTCCCGGGTCTGTACACCCGCTGTGCCCATTATGAGGAGTTCCCACCATCCCCTGTGCTGAGTTCCCGGGTCTGTACACCCGCTGTGCCCATTATGAAGGGTTCCCACCATCCCTGTGCTGAGCTCCCGGGTCTGTACGCCCGCTGTGCCCATTATGAAGGGTTCCCACCATCCCTGTGCTGAGTTCCCGGGTCTGTACGCCCGCTGTGTCCATTATGAAGGGTTCCCACCATCTCTGTGCTGAGTTCCCGGGTCTGTACACCCGCTGTGCCCATTATGAGGAGTTCCCACCATCCCTGTGCTGAGTTCCCGGGTCTGTACCCCTGTTGTGCCCATTATGAGGGGTTCCCACCATCCCTGTGCTGAGTTCCCGGGTCTGTACCCCTGTTGTGCCCATTATGAGGGGTTCCCACCATCCCTGTGCTGAATTCCCAGGTCTGTACACCCGCTCTTCCCATTATAAGGGTTCCCCACCATCCCTGTGCTGAGTTCCTGGGTCTGCACACCCCCTGTGCCCATTATGAGGGGTTCCCACCATCCCTGTGCTGAGTTCCCAGATCTGCATGCCTGTCCTGCCTGTTATGAGGATTTCTTACCATTCCTGTCCACAAATCTGCACCACATTTCTAAAACTCTCCCGTTATTTGCTGTCCGGTCGGAGAATACAAATCAGGGTGTACTGCAGCCTTCACTAAATGGGGGACCTTGGTCCGGATCTGGACCTACTGACAACCCAGTCCAGACCATCAGCTCACCACTCTGCTGTGCTGGATCCTCACTAAGCTGCAGTCATTGGTTGTTAGGATTGTCGGTGTAATAGCAACCAATGGTGTCACATGTGTGCCCCACCCCCTGCAGCACACTTCTCCTCCCAGTCACACTCCCATCTGGCTCTAATGGAATCTACTGATCTATAGTGAGACTCTGATGGGGGAATCTGATGTTTGGCGGCATTCTAATGGGAACACCTGATGTAAGGGGGCACTATGATGTAAGGGGGCACTATGATTTTGGCAGCTGATATATGGGAGCACTATGATGAGGGAATCTGTTATATGGGGGTACCTGATGTATGGGGGCACACTGATTAAAAGGGGTACTCTGATGGGAACACCTGATGTATGGGGGCACTCTGATAAGGGAGACCTGCTGTATGGGGGCACTCTGATGTAAGGGGGCACTATGATGAGGGAATCTGATATATGGGGGAGCACTATGATGAGGGAATCTGATATATGGGGACACCTGATGTATGGGGGCACCCTGATTTAAAGGGGTACTCTGATGGGGACACCTGATGTATGGGGGCACTCTGATAAGCGAAACCTGAT